CAGCTTGAAAACTGTGATTAGAGCAGGATGTAGTATCTGTACCTGTGACTTATCACATGACACCGCATCTGTTCAGTAGTGGGTCTCTAATCCATCTGTTGCTGGAGCGGTCCTTTTCATTGACAGTCAAAACCTGTCAATGCCTTCCAATCACACTGCTTTTCCACTGTTGACACATATGTGATAAGTAACTTCAGAAACAGTTCTGATATGCAGACAGTCATGTGGGGCAAGTGGGTGTGATCATGCTCCTTCCCTCTCATCCCCACTCTTCCCAAGCAGGCTGTTTTTCTTGTATTTTTCAATTTTCTTTCTTTTCTTTCTTTTCTATTTTTTATTTAAGGATTGCAATTATTGTACAATTGTGCTAAAAATAAAAATAATGACATACCAAAAGACATGCTGGGAAGGTATAGGTCAGGGAGGTGATGCTACAGAAGCATGCTTGCAGAAGACAGAGGCTGGGACAGAAGCAGCACTATGGTGATTTGGAAGAGCTGCATGGTAATGAATGTCCCCAATCTGGTACATTTGCATTTCCTAGACTAACATGATTAAGGCTCCTTTGAAGCTTGGTGTCTTCTAAGGTCTAAAGTCTTCAGAAGACTTGATTTCCAAGCAGAAAAATATTTCTCATTTGTTAGTCTTGATGTTTGGTATTTCAATGACAAGCTCCAAGGATGCTTAATGTATAATGATGAATGACATCTCCAAAGGCTTCCCCATATGATGTTGACAGGGGCCATTTCTGTGACATCACTGCACTCTGTGACATCGTCAGGAACTGTTCCCAGGTCTGCCCTCAGGACCAGAGAATTCCTCATCTGGCAACCCAAACAGAAGTGAAGTGAAGAGTCTGCAAAGTCAGTTCTCCTCTTTTCTTTGGGTCCTATTATTCAACCTGTTTTGTCTAAGTGGGGTAGGGAGGTGAACAGACAACATTGCAAAGAGGAGCATTAGCAGGATTCATTGACTCTGGCAGTCAAATCTTACGGACCTCCTGCCAAAGTATTGACCTCAGTAGATGCCCAGCTGTACTGAAGTGAAGGTGAAGGTTCTGATACCATATTATAGAAGTATAGCAATGTTATCTATATATGTGATTTTGGCATAAATACCTGGTAAATAGCCCAATAGTAAGTTGGGAAGAGATCTAGGTTGTTTCTTTGACAAAACAACTGAAAAATTTAAGATATGTTTTAGTATCCTGAAGAATCCAGACTGTGTTCTCTTTGAAATCTGGGACAGAATGCCCCCTGGGAAAGATGCTAGATCATGTGAAATGAGGGAAGACACCTGGAAGCCCTTACACCCCAGGAAAACCTTTGGGAATTAGTGTATATCAAGACATAGTACTGGTCCCAGGAGAAATTCTGTCCAAACATTCCAATGGAACGTTGCCCAACTTGAAGTAGCACCAGAGTGTTTTTTCTTGTTGAAATAAACATGTGGGGGGGAGGTAGGTGTGTGTGTGTGTGTATGTTGGGGAAGGGAGAATGTCCCAGAGGTTGGTATAATTCTCAATTTTCAAAGAAGGCAAATGGTCTCTCAAAAAAGAGATGGGAGTTACTTGTCTAAAATTGAATTGCCCTGTTCTTTACCAATCAGTGATCTCAGGGTCAAGATTGCACAATATCAGTAATAAATAAGACAGTTTCAGCAGACCTACAGTCTAAAGCTATGATTTTCATATTTTGGTCCTGCAGGTGTTTTCTGTTTCAGTCCTCAGAGGTCTCAGTCATCTTGGTCAATAGTCCAGGCTTTTGGGAAACGTGAGAGTCAGTAATAGTTTTCTCTAGCAGATTAATCAAACTGGCAGGGCAGAAGATGAAGAACCACCAATCTTCACTCCCAGGAACTAGCAGAGAAAGAAGTAAGCTTAGTCTTCTTGGCAAAACACATAGAGTAGACTTACTAGTTTATCACACGGAGACAATTGGAAGTATAAAGGTAATTAACCCGTCAAAATTGCACATTTGTGATTAACATTTTCACACAACATTGCTTTCAAAGTGTGATTATCTCAAGAATATCTCGTGGTAATTGCACAATTGTGCTAATGGTTTTCACACAATGTCACAATGAAAAGCTATTAAAGTGCCACTATCCCATGAATAACCAGGCAATAAACAGCAACAAATCATTCATGGGATTTTACTTGCATCATATTTTCCTTGCACTGATGCTGCAAGGCCCTATTTCCTTTCTTTTCCTCTGCTATAGCCAAGTGGAACAGCACTAAAAGATAACATTGGTTGGAATTCCCTGTGACAGTCACAAATAAATTTTGCATGTGTCACTTACACATTCAGGATCCCTATGCAGCATCTAAACAAGGGGATACATAAATACTGAGAAAGTTCCCCAATTCCCACTTAAAAGGAAGCAGCCACTGTGATTGATGGGGCTCTGTTTCTATGTTGATTGGAGAACAGAGTCCCATCCACTCACTTGTGTAAGCAGTCCCCAGCTCAAGGGAAAATTGCCACAGGAATCCTGCTTCTGCTTGCTTAGGAAGGTATGGAAATACCAGCTACCTGCTTCCTGAGCTACAGGAGAATAGAA